GAGCCGAGTTCGAGCCAACACTTTTCTGTATGCGAGCTGGCTCGAACTCGAGCTGAGTATAAACTCGGCTCAGCTCGTTCGGAGCTTTATGATCAATTGCCCATTTTCGGAGACGTTTTTCTCGCTGTTCCCAGGTCAAGTATTTGGAAGATGATGGAATTGGTTTTGACGTATCTTCTTCATTATTAGATTCGGATTTATCGCTTTCAGGTAATTTAGTCATGTTAGCTCTGTTATTTTCTGGTGAAGTGGGAGATATTTCCAATTTATCGCTAACAGGTTCAGGGATTTCAATAATCTCATAACCTTGGGAGCAATAATCTTGGAATTTCTAGACGTTGAAGCGACTAAATCTTCTGGTTGAGTTGGTATTGCTTTTTCCGGTTCGTTTTCTTCTTTCTTCATTTCAGGAACGTTAAATACTGGGATTTCTTCCATAGAACTTTTGGTAGGCAAGCTATCCTGTGAAATATCAGAAAATTCTTCGATGTCACCAATAGATTCACGTAACTTAGCTACTATTTTGGAATGGTCTAGGATGTATTGACGTACTCTTATTCCATTTATTTGTACTTGTTTGTTTTCGATGTTAATCTTTGTAAATTTTTTACCTAATATATTATTACTAAATGGTTTCTCACCATTAGCTTCCACCATGCCTGATATTCTTGATATAATATCGTATGACTTTGTATCTCAACTCGATCCTCAGACCATGGTGAAATATGATCAACTATAAATCAAGTGGGGTTGGGTAATTGGTCTTGCATCATTTCCATCTTCATTTTAGTCTTAGGAATATTGTGTTGAGGATTCCAATCATCCAAAAGATCAAGACTGAGTAAATACGACATAAAAGAGCCTGGTGTGTCAGTATGTCCAAGTATTTTAGAAAGTTGTTTAAAATATTCATTATTGCCTTTACATTGAGGGGATACATCTAAAGCAACAATACGCCCATCTCCAATTTCAACCCGAAGTGGGAAAATACTTATATTCTTTAGACTCTAACCCTTTATGTTCAATCGAAATATAATCTTCTGTAATAAGAGGTTTTAAGTGATCATTTGCCTTATGCCACTCTCCACTGGCCATTCCCGTTTCATTCATAATAATAAGTTTTCGTCCTTGAATAGGACTATTAAATCATCCAAGAATTTTTCCAAGATCAGACATTGAATATACAAGTTCTTGACCAAATACATATTTTCAAATAAAATCAGTAATAATATTCTTTACAAGAATAGTTCCAGGGATTTTTGCTGGTTTTTGAACTAGAAATGCAAACCATTTGAAAACATACTCTGAAAGAATTTTATCTCCATTACACCAAATATTTTCTACATGCCAAATTATTGGATTAATTAGATCAAAATTAATTTCAGTTGCTGGTTGAGCTTTAAATCCTAAGAAAAGATTAAAGAAATTTGTTTTTGGCAGGATTACATTTGGAGGGAATGGGAGAAAATCGACTTCATCATAATGTATTAAATTCTCAGTAACCGTTTGATTCATCAAGGTAATTAATTTTACTTCTTCTCCTCCATGCTCAATTATATTGATTTTATAATCTGCAAGATTTAATTTTGAACCCATATCAAAGAAAAGTCCTCCATCTGAATTAATATGTTTAAGAATCCATGTTCTCATTTTCATTTGGACACATGCTATTGTTGCTTGGATTGCACTATATACCTCATCATGCATAAACTTTTTCTTAGACATACACATACAAAGTAAGTCATCCCATACAAAATGATCATTTGGATCTGAAATTCTGGATTGTTCTATTTTTTGGGGGGTTGGAAGAGTTTTTTCTTGATTTTCAAACATTTCATCTTTAGTAAAACTAAAGGCATGGCTAATTACAAGTTTTAATGATGGTTTTTTTATACCTGAAGGAGTTTCTAGATCTGCACGGTGACAATGGAAGCGATAAGTTTTTTTATTTTGAACCACATATGCATTATCACCACTATGTTCTTGTTTACATAACGGACAATTAGAATCTGATTAATGTCTTAAGGTGAATATATTTGGATGTGTGGACCCTGGATATAAAACTTCAAAACCATTGATATTTTGTAAAGCGAGTAGATTTTTTACGTATTCTAATTCAGCTTCAAAACTTCCAGAATTGTTTTCAAAACTTTTTATTGTCTTTTCTTCAGGAACATTTAGCGAAGCTAACACAGCTAAAATCAGACTATCTACAATTGGTGATTCATCATGAGGAGGACGAAGCATAAAATGCAGAAAAGGTTGCAACTCAAGCTTTAAAATCTGCAGTTGCAAAAAATATGAAAACAGTTACAGACACCAACTTTGACCTTACCCCCTACCCATTTTATTTCAGAAATTTTATCTCACTGCCCTTTGGGCATTTAACTTGGAATTTTGTGCCTTATTACAGATTTAATATATGTATGCTTGTATGGAACACTTCTGCCCTTTGGGCATTAAACTTGGCACTTTGTGTCTTGTTACAGACTGAATATTTGTATTCTTGTATAGATTGCTTAATGATGATGGCTGAAATTACTTTAGAAAATCCAAAATAGTTTCTCCCACAGACATTATAAACTAGTAGTGAAACTCAAAAATTGTCTAAACTGTGGGCGAAATCCTAAACTGTCAAACCTATGATTAAAAAATTTATAAATAACAAAACTTTAACATGTTAATCTATTAATTTAGTTTTGACTTTACTATTATTATTGTAAAAAATAATGTAATAATAATAAAAGAATTAATATTTTTTTCTTTTCACCAAGAGACATGGCTAGTTTGTCTTCAAATGAGCAACTACCGCCATTAAAAAACAAAAACTAAACAGACAAAGTTATAGTTGGACATTGGCAAGAAAAGCTTATCTAACAGTCCAGGTCATAACATGCATAGTTAGAAATTTAAACACTAATATTAATATATTAATAAGTTTGCCAGTTTAGGAGTTTCGCCCACAGTTTAGGAATTTCGCACATAGTTTAGGCAATTTTTGAGTTTCGCCAATTTCACCAGAAAGTTTTCAAGGGCGAAATTAGGCCTAAACCAAAATTGCCTAAATGCCTAAACTATGGGTCAGTTTCGGCCACCATCATAAGATTGCTACTGCCCTTTGGGCATCAACTTGGTCCTTTGTGCCTTGTTACAGATTGAAACATGGATGCAGTATGGAGTTCTATAATGAAACCACTTGTTATTGAATTTGCTATAAAATTTGGGCCTTGAATGGTAAGAAGACCATTTAATATACAAAATTTGTTGGGGGAAAAATGTTTTTGTGGCAGAACCCTATAATTACCCATCAAAAAATGCAAGATAATTGTAATGAAGGAAAAACAAACAACTGGCAATTATTCCTAATCAAATAAACTTTTAAGTGGATTTAATGAAAATTACCCTGATGCAAAAAACTCGGAACCCTAAAATAAATCGTGTAACGATCTTCAAATAATAGATATTCAGTCAACTCAATCGTGTAACTTTTAAAAATCATTCGATACAACTAAAAAAAAATTTTTTTCTTATAAATCAAACATACAGACCAATTAATTGAATTACAACAATTAAATCACTTTGATACGTATAATCTTTATAACTAAAATATCGTTTAATATGAAAAATTCATCGTCTTCGACATCCTTGTTTACGCCATCTCTTAAAAGTGAGGAAGCAGAAGACTCTAGAATAAATTTGATGAAAAGAAGGAGGCATTCGAGTAGAATGGGGTCAAATAATGGCTTAATTTTAGATAAGGAGGTGAGTTGCGTTATAATTTTTAATAATTGAATAACCGATAAAGATACTTGTTTGCATATTTTAATCCCCCCGTGTTTGTTCGAGAAAATACTGTTACTTCTACACATATAAATATTACATGTGTATAAAGTTTTCGACGAATAAACATTTAATTTTACTTTAATAAGTCATAATTGATGATATTTCAATATATATATATGTTTTTATTTATGCATTATGATCTCAATATGACAATAAAGTGTAATAAGAAAAATAAATCTTTTGATTTACCAACAATGAAGTCGCGTAATATACATTCTAATTCTATATCTTCTGATGATGATGGAACACCAGAACCTCCATCACCAGCTAATACACCTATAGCAACTGATCCATGTATAGTTTGTGGTGGAAATATGAATTCAAAATATCCAATTCTATCGTGTGCCGGTTGTCAAGTATGCATACATACAGGTTAAACAAAATTTCTTAATATATTAAAGAATTTATATGTTGGTGAAATTTTTTTTTGTTATTTCTTTGAATAATTTTTTTTTTTCCTAAAAAAATTTTATTTCTGATCTTTAATAGATTGTTACGGAATAACTAATGTTAAACCAATGAATAAGATGTGGCGTTGTGATCCATGCTTAAATATAAGAATTCGATGTGCAATAAAAGTAAATTAGTTGTGTTTTGTTTTATTTTTAAATGTATTTATTTAATTGTCATAAATAATTATTTTTAAAATTTATTTAATAGATTAAGAAATGTTTATTATGTGATCAACCAGAAGGAACTAATAATTCTTTGAAAAGAACAAATGGAAACAATTGGGTGCATGTTTTATGTAGTGCTTTTATTCCTGATGTTACCTATTATGATGCAAAAAAATTATTTGTTGCAATGGATGTCGATGATATAGACAAAGAATATTGGAATGCAGTAAGTTATAATGACAATGATGCTGGCGGCAATGATAATTGGATATAATATTGTTCTAATCACTGATTAATTATAAATTTCAATCCTTAATCATATTATTTTATTGTGGGAAAATTTTACTTTTATTTAGGTATGCACAATATGTAAATCTAGTGCCGGTGCCTGCGTTAAATGTTCGTATTATGATCAATGTAGAAATTTTTTCCATGTAACATGTGCTCGAGAAGCAGGATATAATATTGGATTTGAAGTTAAATCTTTTAATGATAATATTGGTGATTCCAATTCGCCAAAATATGATAAAGTTCAAACAACATTTTCATCAAACAATTTTAACAAAGCTATAAAATTGTTAGGTCGTGAAAACAACAATATAATGATATCGGATGAATATATAAATATTTCAGAAAAATATATTAATATTAATCATACTCAAGATAATATTAATAAATCAACTGCAGGCATGCCTGTTCACTGTTTTGGAAATGGTTTGGATGGTGAGATGATAGCGACAATTAGTTGCCGTGATCATGGAAATTTACCTTATAACTTTGTTGGATTGAGCACAAGAGATTTGTATACCTGTCAAGTATGTAAACTTTATTAATCAAATGCTCATTTTAATTATTTTGATTAATTATTGATCTACTCATATTATTATTATTTTATTATAAAACATTTAGTCGGCAATCTATGTTTATATCAAAGAGTATAAACAATATGATACGTCTTCTCGTGAAAGCAAGATCAAAAAAAGATACAAACTTACAGTTCCAAAGAAAATAACAGATTTTATAGATTTACAAAAGCCATGGTTTTCTAGAGTGACCGAGGGTATGGACATTGATAGTATCGAAGCTATGATTAAAGAGGAGGAGAAGAATTCTACTGCAATGAATATAAACCAAATGATGTGTAAAGACAATGAATACTCCAACGATAATCATCAGTTAAAGAAATCCAGAATAATATCAACGTCGTCACCACCTTATAAATGTATGAAATGTTCTATAAACAAGTCATTAAAATGGTGGCCAGAAAATTGGAAGTCTTTAACCAAAGATTCTAGACACAAAATCAGCGATTTAAATAATGTCGTGTGTCATATTTGTTACATCAAAGAACATAAAGCTTCGAATAATACTAATATTGTTAATAGTCATTACCACAAGAGGTCTGTTGAAAAGAACAATGGAATTCATAAAAAAATAAAGAAATAAAATTTATTTTTTTTATTAATAATTGATTAAATTATATATATATTTGATTAGCTATTTTTTTTTTTAAAAAATAAATAATAATTAAAAACTTCAATAAACACGTAATTTTTTTTTTTAACCTTTAATAATAAATAATATGTGATGAATGTACCACATCTTAATGAACATTTTTTAATTATTAATTCAATAGATGTGTGAATTCAAATCGCTGATGTATATGCAACTATTTAGTAGTATAACTCATTGTAACCATATCTTATTCAATGATTTTATTATTATTTTTCATTATATAAAAATAAATAAAAATACAAAAATAATCAGATGATTATTTAAGAAAATCCTGAAAAATCATTTTTCAATGAAATACTGGGACCTTTACTCAATCCAACCTCATCATTAATTTTTTTTTCGCGTTCTTCATGTAATTTTCTTTGTTCTTGTTGTAACAAAACATTAAATCTTATAGCTGCTTCTAATTTTGATTTAGGCTCTGGCGATAATAAATTAACAGCATCTTTAAAATACGTTGATTGTGATGTGGCCAATGATAATATGTTTGTCATGGATAATATGTGCAAAGGTGGTAATGATTTTTGTTGAGGGGTAGTGGATAAATAACAATCTAGTGGTGGGTCTGCTAATAAGTGGATTAATGTCGGCAATATAATTGCTAGTATTATCGATTCTTCAAAATAATAAATTTTAAATTAGTATTCTGTATTTATAATCATTCAAAATAATAATAAACATAACCAATCAGTCAATGGTCAATCATTCAATAATGCTTACTATGCGATTCATTTGCTACATTATTCATTGTTAATAATGTTTTAATTGCCTCTTCAACAACCTTTAATTTTTCCTCAACAACTTTTGAATCATTGATATCTTCAATCAAATCTCTGGATGATTCTAAAAACAAAACAACTTCTGGTATAAGAACTTTGGTAAATCGGTTACTTAGTTCAACTGAAGCTTTTGTGGTAGATTCTTTATTGAAAGTTTTCGTGGATAATAGTATTAATGTACGTGTGCATTGTAATGAAGTGATTGCGATCTATTATTTATAAACAAGTTAATAAATAAAACGATCAAAATAATTCGTATATATATTATATAAATAAACAAGTATGAATAAATTTATGAACTTACTATAGTATTTTCGGATTTATATTTATTTTTCAATATTTCCAAAAATTTATATTGTATTTCATTGTTATTCAAACAAGCATTTGGGCAAGATGTGAAAATTAAAACTATCGCCAACAAACAATTTTTTATTATAGATACTTCATTTTCATCCGATGTAGCTTCACTAAACAACATTTTTAATTAGATCAATAAAAAGTTTCAAACAAATCGCAAATCTTTAATTTAGTCTTACCTATTTAATAAAATTCTGGATATTGCAGAAGATATTGTGGATTGTAAAACCTTGGAATAATTTTCAAAATCTTGTTTTTCAGTAAATTGATCTTCCAAACTTGCACAAGACATTTTTAAATTAACTAATACATTTGGCACAAGATCATTTTGAAATTTCAAATCTTGTATTATGGCTATTATTTAAATAATAAACCATCAGGAATATTTAGACATATGAATGATTTCCATAAAAAATTCTTTTTTAAAATCACTTACACATATAAACATAAAATGCTATTGCCACCAAGTCAATCTTGTAATTTATTGGAACTATTGGAACAAGCAATGTAAAAATTTCTAGTGAAGCTTTTAAAACTGTTGTGGTTTGCTGTAATGTTTGACCTTTTGAATTTCCTGAATAATATTAATTTGAGAAAAAAATAAAAATCATTAATTAGTATGTATAAATTAATTTATTAATTTTATCATTATTTAAAAAAAAGAGATAACTAATAAATAAACCTTGCAAAGGCCTAAATGTTCTCATTGTAATAGGCCTGGATGAAAGTAATGATATTTTTTGAAAAAATATATTGACAAGCACTCTTAATATTTGGTATAATATTGTTTTTGATTTATCTTCAATATCATCTGCAGACAATTTATCATCATCTATATCTTCTTCAGTGTGACCATTTAATTTTGGGGAACTAAATAAACGATAAAAATAATAATGATAATGCGAAGTTTTTTTTTTTTCAATAAAAAGCCTTTTATAATAATTAACAAACCTTTTTTCAGATAATTCACTACAAATATACGTTGCACCGTAGTCTTTAACAATATTTTTAATGATTTGAATTATGTCAAATTGTGTTTGAAATCCTTCTGTGAGTACTAATCTATCAAATAAATTCATTAATTCAACAAAATTTTGTTTATCTAAAAATTTAGTTCCTGCTGATATAGGTCTCAAAAATGCTTTCAATGCATTTATACATGTTTTAACAACCTTTTTATCTTCATTTTTGTTTAAATCATTATCGTTGTCACTGTTGATAGTACTTCCTCCTCCAAAAGTCTGCGACAATGCCTCAATACAAAGTCCAAACAATATAAAAAAATATTTTGTCGGCTGATTCTGAACCATTGTTGATGAAAAACCAAATGTTTCTTGTTGTTGTATGTCAGTAAATGAAGAAAATTCATCTTCAAAATCATCATTATTACTTGCATCATTAAAATCTTGAAATTCATCATTATTATCGTTAAAATCGTTAAAATCATCATCGTTTTTTAATGATGTGAAATCAATTTTGTCGTTTTCCTTATCATTCAAAGCAGAGATTATCAATTCATTTTCACTTTCTACCAAGCTTGCAACTGCTCCTAAGATTGTCAACCATGATCTATTATAATACTATATTCAATCATTTATCAAAAAAAAACATATATTCGTTTAGAAAGCTTTAGACCAATATAATAATAATAATAAAAACTCAATCTTAAATGACTTGGATAATCACTGGCAAAATGACTTCTCTTGTTAAACCACTGTACATTGAATCAAAAACCTCTGTTTGTGTGGTGTTTTGTAACAAATCTGATCCTATACTATTAGCTTGCGCCTCTGCAATATCTGGTTCAATTTGCACTCTAGCATATTCTTTTAAAGATGTAACCCACAATTGACTTAATAATGAAAGGTTTCTATTGAAAGTTCAGAAGTTAAGGCATTCATAAATATATAAATATAGTAAAATCAATCTATTTCAAAAAGGTTTGAAGGATACGGCTCAACAACTTGTACAAGATAAGATTGTTTAACACTTGAAACTTGTAATTCTGCCCATGCGTTTAAAACCGATAACTTTACCATTATTGCTGCGTGAGGGCTTAAATCTCCAATATCCCCAACAGTTGTAACACCAGAATTATCTATAATTTTAATTTTATAAGAAAAGCAAATGTTAATACAACATCATAAATATCATTCTTAATTTTATATTTAACAAATTACCTTTACAATTTTCTAAAGCAGTAGTCAGTAATTTCAGTATACGACCCATTCTATACAATTCCTTGACAATACCACTACCTACAAACACTGCACAAACTTTTACTGCGGCAGATAAAATTTCTGGTGATGACTCTGCTGTAAAAGCTGGGGTCAATGCAGCTCCAATTTGTGCCTAAATGTTAAGTTATATAAACATATAAACGCGTGTGCATAAAGGTGTATATATTGATTAATCATTAAATACCTGGTATTGTTCTAATAATGCTGCTTCCTCAAACTCGGGATCTTGTGTTGCAGCAAATTTCTAAGTATAAAAATCCACAATATTAATCTAATATAAATCAAAGAATAATACTATATAATTAAACAACTTTATTAATAGCAATTAATGTATAAATAATACCTCAATTAAATCTCTAAGTAATCTTAAGCCTTCTAATCTCATTTCACTCACAACAGCGGTAGAAGCTATGAAAGCCATTTTTATAAGTTCAGCTACTTTCAATACTAAAAAGTCATTATTGCCATTATTTTTAACTTTCTTTGCTGATATTAAATCGAAATGGCTTTTATCACCACTAGCATAAATTACTTCTACTACTTGATGTAAACATTTCATTGCAAATAATTGTGTACGCCACCTTGGTGGGATTTGTACTGAAGAATCATTCAAAAATTTTATATTTTTTTCTAGACTATGATTTTTAGTTGATGAATTTTTTATTGAGGCTTTTTTTGCGATACTATCAGATTGCTCTGCACCAAAACTTTCCACTTCTTCGTCATCTACTCCTCCGCCTAGCTCATCATCATCATCACCGCCACCACTGATATCTAATGATGGAGGCTCAATTGGTGCACCAGCACTAGCTATTGATCCTGTTTTGGACATAACTTTTCTACACAATTCTACCCATGTAGAAGGGCTATCATTCGCGGTCTGATTCAACCAACTTTTTACAATGTCTTTTACTCCATCGATCGTTGGGTCAGTGTCTAATAAGGAAAATAATTGATTATCAAGGCCAGGAGACGCCACATCAAATACTAATTTTGCATTTTTTTGTACTAATTGATATAAACACGTAATGGCAACTTCTTTTAAAGGTAGATGCATGCTGGATAATTGATATTGTAAAAGTGCCACCAATTTGGGTAAGTCAACATATTGCTGAGCAAACATTATAAAGTGTTGTAAACATCTAATTGATTCCACCACAACCATTTGATCTTCGTCATTTCTTAATTCTACCATTAAATTCAAACATAAATCTCTGACCTTAGTACTTGTTTGTAATTCCGGGCCTAAAGTTCCTATCAATCCATATATGATTCTACCAAATTGTTGATAAGCTGATAAACCTAATCCTACATTGGTTGTTCCTACTGTACCACCACCTGGTTCATGAGTTTCTGACATATATAATTTTGCTATAATGCCTAAAGTACTACTTACATAGGGTGAAAACATCAAACCAGCTGATTCTATAGTTTTTGATAATGAATAAAGCGCCCAGAAATGTACTACGGGATGTGGGTCACTACTAAGTGACAATAATATTCCAACTAACGTTTTTAAATGGCTACCTGCTGCCATAGATCCAACATTACTGTA